GGAAATCTGTTTATGATTGATGTGTCTGAAAGAAAAAAGCATTTTTAAATCACCAAGTATTGCTTCCGATCTTTAAACTCTTTTGTTGGTTGGGCTCTAAAAGAGATGAAAAGAGTCTGATTTAATTGTAGGCAGCATAGGCAAGCAAAGCATGTTTCCATTAACAGTGTCTATGGGTTAGTTTGGAGTTTGTGAGTGAGTTCATGATAGCAGCAGATGAATGACAAAGCTTTGTGTGGGTTTGGGTTATGTTGTTGTGAGTGGTTAATGAGAGGTGGCTAAAACTGCATTTCCACACAACGCCACTACTGTGTGCTGTCAGTGATTGCAATAGAAAGCCACTTAGAGTGAGTATGAGTGTGAGAGAGGCAGACGGTGAGTGGAAGGAAGAGTTATTACAGCTAATTGGTGCCAGAGGGATTGTGGTTTCATACCCACCTCTGATTAGAGAAAACCCCCACCACTTTTAAGACCACTGGTACTCCTTGCACTATGTGAGTTGTCTCTGCTCTGATCCTCTCTAATTCCTGCTCCTGGCCTGGTTGTGGTGTGATGTCTCACATGGTCTCTCTCTCTCTCTCTCTGTACTCCCTTTTTGCACAACACTTCACACAGATGTTTTGTAAAGACAATATCTTTATTTCATGTCTAAAGGAATACTAAGAATAAACAAAAGATTATGACATCTGCTGCCTTGCTGTCTTAGTTTTTCTTTCTCTGCAATTAACAACTTTTCAGAAGGACAGTGCCGTCTCAGGGCTATCCCACCAAGCGGAGATCTCACACAATGCCAGCCGTGATTTGTTGTGGGGAACACGTGTCACTTTCTGGCAACATTAATCCCCTCTGGTGCGTTTTGAGCTTCCATAGCTGCCCCAGGACACAGGACACAGAGCTATTTATATGTAGGCCAAAGGTAAGAACATCACAGCTCTGTTTACATCTGCTGTGGATCCTGAAGCTCCAGACTGGCTGCAAATGACAACCTTAAAGAGTGAAGGAAAGTTACAGAAGCAGTGACCTGTGTTTATTTCATAAACTGAGTTTTTCCATTTATACCCTCTTTTACCAGGAAATAAGTGCATAATCAATGAGAGGGACTCTCTTCTTAAAATGAGAGACACAATAGAATCACTGTAGCAACTATTAATTTTATTTTTGACTCATCTAGCTATTATACTTTTGAGTAAGATGTTAAGTAATCCCGTTGGAGAGGTGCTTCAAAAATGAAAAATCATGATGAAATCATTGGCAATTAATTCTGCAAATGTCTTAATGTTCGGTTCCAGCTGAACAGCTTCTTATAGGGAAGGGATAAAGATGTTCAGTGGTGCCGTATTCTTTCCATAATCTGTGTCACATGGGTTGTAGAAGGGAAACAGAGGAACCTCCACAGTGCCCATGGAGAAGGTGTAGATTGGTGCCATGGTAAGGGCATTATAAAAAGTCACCTCCTCCTTTTCACAGTCCAAGAACACGCCAATGCGGACGAGGCAGAGCGACACCTTGATCTTTATCGGGTCTGGGTCAATGCAGGCTAGGATAGAGCCGCTCTTCAGTGCCAAGGTCCACAGGCCGTTGGAGGTGCCTGTGGCAGACATCTCCCCTCTTGGGACGTCTTCTCTTGCCACACCCAGCCTCCACGCCGTCTTGCTCCCAACCTCGACCTCCCAGTAGTGTCGCCCTGTGGTGAAGCCCTCACGGCCCAGCAAGCAGTAGTAATAGTGAAACTGCCGCGGGTTGGCCTGGAAGTCTTTTGTGTCTTTATCCTCATCGAACCAAACTGAAGTGCAGGACTGGGAGAGAGTCAGATTCGGGTGTGCTGTTTCAGGGTCAAAGGTCACTGATGTAATATCTAGAAACAGAAACAGATTGAGGACAGTGACTGATGCTGCTTATTCACATGTGTATTGCATCGAATGAATGATGCTGTATGGAAATACTTGGGTAGAGGCAGCTTTTCATGTGTTTCCATATTCTGTACTGGATGGGACCGACAAACTGGCCAGAGCGAACCTCTGTGTCCACCTCCGCTGGGAGAACAAAGCTGACCTGAGATCTGTTAGGACACAGAGGGAAGGACTAAATGGTAGGAGGTCCATCTCTAAGACAGTCTCACAGATGCTAAACGTCCATACACACAGGATAAATGAGTTAAGAGGCAATGTCAAGATTCAGATTATTTACTAAAGTCACGCTATTGAGAAAACGTACCTTTTAATGAGATCTTGAATTTCCTACAAGAAAAGAATTCAGCCTTGATTAGTTAAAACAACATAACAGAGCACTTTTCTCATAGAAAGCTTTGTATTTGGACACGGGTCTGCTGTTTGGGCTTTTGTTTTCTAAATGAGAAACTGCTTTTTAATCAAATCAATCGAATCTAATGTAATACTTATTGATCAAATAAGTGCCAGTAAAGTGGTGTTGTGTAAGGGTGGCCCTTTGTAAACATGCATGCTCTAACTGTGAAAGTGTTTAAAGAGGATGAACAATTATAGAAAGTTATTTTTACTCTAAGGCGAGTGTGTCAAAGGAGCAGGGTGGAAAACAGTGGCTCTAGATAAAGCACTGTATTGCTGCTGCTCCTCACCACACACATAAACCCTGCCTATCAACACACCACAGCTTTGCAGAGTATAATTAGAGTCAAGTTCATAAAAGCCCAAGTTTAATTAACAATCACACGTCGTGTCTTCTTATTCAGTGACACTCTTCCTCACTTTGATCAGCTTAGGACTGTCCTCCTCAGTCAGCTTGTTGTTGAGCACTGCGATGGCTTTTTCCAGGTCTCGCCCTTGCCCCGCTATCTTCTTCTCTCTCTCCTTCAGCTGTTTCAGTTGCTTCTGTCTCTCCCTCCTCAGTCGCTCCAGGTCCCTCCACTCCTCCTCATCCAGGAAGCGGTGGAGGTTCTGAAACTCTGCTCTGATTTCCCTTTCTAGGTCATCAAACCTGTTCTGAAAGATAAATCAGGGAAAATGGAAAGAAAGAAATTTAGTATGTAGGTCAAACTGAAGGGTTTTTGTGTTTAACCAATGCTGGCTTCAGCACACTCAATTAGTCTGCAATAAACTGAAATAATTGTGTGTAAAAAGAGATAAAAGATAATGAATAAGGCGGGGATGGTACCTCTACTTCCACTGATTCTATGTATGTCTCTCTTTCTGCTTCTCTGCACTCATCTACCTCATGCTTGATTCTTTTAATAGCCTGGATGAGCTTTTCCTGTAACACACACACACACAAAGGAGACATAACCTTGCAGATAAAATACAAAGAGAACAGGAATCCTACTGCAAACAGTTTAAAAAAACAGGAAGCTAAAAATAAAGAACGTTCAAGAGGTAATGTATCTGCTCTCAACTGTTCCAAACACAGCAGCAGGTGGAAACCATAGAACTCGAAGCTTACCTTTTGACCACAGAGAAGGCTTTTTTGGCAGTTGTTGTTGGTGTCTTTAGTGTGGTTTTGGTACATTCCAGTTTTCTGTGTATAGGACAGAGCAGGAACAAAAAGACCTCTGTGAAATTGAAATAAGAGCGAAAGACGGCGTTAGAAGGAGAGAAACAAAATTAATGACATACAGCACAAACACATCAATATGGGGAGGGAGAGCAAAGGAGCGAGAGAGGGAAAACACACATGCCAGTACAACGAGAACAACAGTGAGATACAGTCAGACTATTAGAGCAACGAGGACGTACATCCAAGCAGAAAATTAACAAGAGGAAACGTATTGACAAGCACAGATCAGCAGCCACAGCCTGACTCGAGAAAATATGGCTCCATTAAAAGTAAGGGAAGAAATGGAGGGGTGGGAGAGAGGCAGATGACTGGAGCTGCCAGGAGGGCTTGCTGGCTGGCTGGCTGGCTGGCTGGCTGGCTGGCTGGCTGGGTGGTTGGCAGCAGCGATTTATAGCAGCAGACACAGAGGAGTCTATTTCTGTCTGCCAGTGTCTTTGGAAACAACGAGAGGGGCGGCAAGTCAGTGAGATATTGTGTTTCATATTGGCAGTTGTTTTGCCTGGAAGGGAGACAGTGTGTGTTTATTTTTGCAAGGTGGCTCTCTGATATCTGCCTGATCTGGAAGGTGCATTAAAAGATGCTGTTTCGCTATCGGTGCCCTGCCGGGTTCTATATCGACTGCAAGGGGTGGCATCTTGAAATGTGCAGTCAGCGTTTCCCTGCCCTTGGAGAAACACTATCTGCGCCCACTGCTTCTTCTCACTTTCTGTCTTAAAAAAAACAAATAAATAAATAAACCTCCCTCCAGCCTGTCCACTTATCCAAACTTTTTTATATATATATATCTCTGTCTCACCCACACCCCATCAACTCCCCCACACACACTCAAGGGTCTGGCTGTGGGCTACGTGCACTGAAGCAGCATCTCTGCAAAATGTTCTTCATCTATAATTCATGGTGCTGGGTGCTGGCCAGTGACTGTGCTGAACTAAGGTTGAGCAGAAAATTCAGTGCACCGCAGCATGCGGCAGGTGGAGGGGACAGGGAGATTTAATAAAATGCAGAGTCTTGACGCGCATGCATGCTACGTAACTCTTGACTGAGGATAAAAGTAGCTGTAAAGCATTGCTGGCTAGCAAATTTAGATATTTAGAATATAAAAGGATGTTTCATGAGCTTTGTGATCGATTCCTAATAAATCAGGTCTAGTTTCACAAACTATTGTGTTACAATACTAATACAGATAATGCTTAATACATAGAAAAAAAACTACTAGTAGTAATATATGTCTAATACTTTATACTAAAAGAAATAAAAGACATCTGATGCTTGCATTTGTTCCTGTGGAACTTTTTTTTCTCTAAATGTGTATTTATAAAAGCTTGAAATCTGCACATATTTGATTTGGTATGGGTTTTACTCTGGATGACCTCCCTAACACAATCCTCCCAGGGATTTGCGTCTCCTCTTCGTGTTTATTTATACATTTAGAAAAATTTGAGAAGTTCCCACCATGCAGAAAACAAGGGAATAAACACACAACAGAGCATACTATGTCAAACCCAAGTTTGGGACATCGGGCACAGAAAATTGCAGGGAGACATATCTAAGGGAGTTCAGCAGAACCCCAGTGCAAAAAGAGAGAGAGATGAGGAGGAACAATATGAGGAAATTTGATTTGCAAGAATTCACATTTGGATTACTCCTCGTAGGCCAGAGAGAAAGGTTCAGGCTACGGAAGACTGGGCCAAGGTAAGCCCATATTTTGGTTTTCTGCCCTACACTGTTCCTTTCAGTGACTACATACTTTTATAAGTTGCAACCAGAAAGTTGATCCAAGTCTGCATAACAGGTCTTTAAAAATATGCACTTAAGAGGCTCAACTTAGTTCCCCAATGGGGCTGAAGTTTCCACTCCTGCAGATGGAAAATATTTTGTCATGGGCACAAATGTTTGAAGGACCTATGCAACTTGATTTTAATGGTCAGGGAGAGAATAGTTTTAGAGCACTGTGCAAACGTTGTGAGCCATCCCTAACTTCTCTATGTTTTGTGTAAAAACATGCAGACATAAATGGAAATTTGGAAACAAGAATTCTAATAAGCTTGATAATTAATATGCATGTAAAAAGGTATGACCACCTTTATTCTTCAGCACAGCCAGAACTCCCTGTAATTGAGAAGCCTTTTTGGATTAGTTTCCCTCTTCTTTAAGTTCATTCAGATCTCTTCTTTGGATGTTGCCTGCATTTTATTCTACTCTTTGTCAAGATGATCCCACACTGTTTCAATAATGTTGAGGCCTGGTCTCTGGGGAGGCCAATCTCTGACTGATAGTGTTCCATTGTGTGCGTTTTTTTGTTTGTTTGTTTTTTTGCTTATGCTTTCAATGCGTTGGCAGTATGTTTGAAATCACTGTCATACTAAAAATTAAAGTAGTGTCAATTGAGATGTTTTCTAGATGATATTGAATGGCTATACTTTTCTGGATTCCAGATCCCAAACACCAGTAGTTGAAATGCAGTCCTGAAACATGACACAGCCTCCACTGTGTTTTACAGATGGCTGTAGATACTGTTTAGAGTGTCTACAGTCATACCTCTCTCAATTAGAACCAAAAGTTTCAGTTTGGATTCATCACTCTATAAGACCTGTTGCCCTGTTTACCTTCATTAAAATGTCTTCTTGACAGCTGCCCTTCCACTGATAAGGCTTCAATGAATAGTGAATGGATCAGCTGAAGGTCCAGATGAGGATTATGCTAAAAAAAAAGTGCTTTGAGTGCTTAAATTCATAGAGAAGCACCATTTATGTACCAGTCCATTTTAACAAACAAAAACACATTCCTTTGAGAATAGTCAGCTACAAGGACTGGACTGAAAATGAGCTAAAACAAGGTAAAAGGAAGACTTTAGAGAAGATGCATGTGTGTAGTAAAGGAGGACATGCAGAGGGCTGGTGTGACAGAGGATGCAGGGAACAGGGTCAGATGGAGACAAGTGATCCGAAGTAGTGACCCATAAAGAGAACAGCTGGATGACGATGAAAAAGAAGAAGGGGATTTAAATATAAAATATTGTTGGGATTTTTAAAGTTGGTACTTCCACTCCTGCCCAGGAGGTGGCGGGAAAGCACCGAAATTGTGAATGTCAAACAACTGTAACAGCAGAAGAAGAAAGACGCACGAATACGACGTCAGATAGGTAAACAATAGCACGTCCCACGGCAGACTCAAGAGAGAGGTGTCATGAGATAAATTAGCTTTAAATTCACCTGAGTCGTGCTAGCATATTTTGTAATAAGCTTTCGTAAACATTTGAACTGTTCGTGGCGCTCTAGCTATAGGTAGCAGGCTAGATATCGGAGCTAGCTGAAGGTACGGAGGCTGGTTCCGCTGGAAACGAAGAATGTGCTTTTACAGACACTACCTGCTATAAAACAATTACAGTTAGTATCCACTGCTGCTAACAAACTGCAGATTTCATGGTTTAATTATTTGCATTTTAGACATGAACGGCCAAGCGGACGTCGAAGTCGACTACAAGCGGAAATACAAAAATCTCAAACGGAAATTAAAGTTTCTTGTTTATGTGAGTGTTTTCATTTTAAACCGTCCCGTTTCCTCTGCCGTGCTATAGTTGCGTGTCTGTCTTTGCGCTGATTTCGTTTCGCTGGTTTCCTTTTCCAGGAGCAGGAGTGTTTTCAGGAGGAGCTGAGGAGAGCACAGAGGAAACTTCTGAAAGTTTCCAGGGACAAGAGGTTTGTGAGGATTGTGTCTTCATATAGGTATGCTTTGTGCATCCTAATGGAAATGCAAAAAATAATTTTCTATACATGTTTTCCAGCTTTCTTCTGGACAGATTGCTGCAGTATGAGCGAGTAGATGAAGACTCATCAGGTAGACTAGGAACATAAAACCTTTATGAGTAAAAACAAAAGCTGTTGCTTCTGAAGTCCTGTGGATCAATTTTGTCTTTGTTTTCATCATCAGATTCAGAAGCAACTGTTTCCTCGGAAAACAGTGAAGGGGAAGGACCCAGAGAGAGGGAAAGGGAACGAGAGGGAGCAAAGAAGTAAGTCGGCTATTTAAGTAAATTAATTACCAGGTAGATCAACCAGAATCATTCACTTTTGAGTAGGTTCATATTTAACCTTTTATTTCCACCCTCCACAGACGTCTTGTGCAATGCGAAGTTACCTGTTTACTTTGCATTGCACAACACTGTGTGTTATAAGTATTCATAGTAGTTGCATGCTCCATGAATCACTCATTTTATAGTTTGAGCCCAATGAATTCTGGTGTTGTCATCTTGGAATAAGCCAGTGTATTCAGGGAAGAAAAAATTCAGTGATGGAAAAATCCTGGGCATTCAGTATATTCCGGTAGTTAGCTGATCTCATTTTCGGACAAATAACACTACCAAACCAACCCTAGACAATCTGAAGTAACTACAGATCATAACACTGACCAACAGGTTCCCATCTGAAATCGGATAAATCTGGGATTATATGACCACATGATCTTTTTCCACTGCCCAAGATTCTAATCTTTATGCTCCCTAAACTGAAGCCTTTTCCCCCAATTAAACACCAAGTAGTTTTCTTAAGGCTATGTGTGGAAATACCCTGTCTTTCAGTATTAAACACAGCCATATTGTATGATTTGATCTACAGTCATTCAATCATCACCACTTCCAGGTTTAATGATGTATTGAACAGTTCTTAGCCCAATTTTTGTAGTTTCAGAGATCATCCGGAATGCATGCAGGCCATTAATTTGTCCCTTTTGAAATGTAGCTCCATAAATGAAGCGTGTGAATTACCACAGTAATTGTTGGTGGAAGGCTCTTTCCTATTCGAGGTGTTAAATCCAGGTGGTGACTGGATTTGGCCAGTCAGTTTATATTCAAGCATTAAATGATATTAAGGTACAGGTTAGAGTAGTGATTTCCCTTTGTTTAGTGTGAGTCTCTAGCCAACACTAATAAATCATAAAGTGAGTATTTTTACTGTTTTACAGTGGCTGAATGTTGTTTTTCTCTGTTTTCTTAACTGTGACTAGCTAGCACAAGAACGGTGTTTTCACAATTCTGTATGAGAAAAAAAAAATTCAGCATAATCTTTCTGTCACCCTGTCTCTGAGGGAGAAGGTGGCTTGCCCTCCCACTTAGTGACAGGGTGAGAAGTTCAGTCATTTGGGACGTACTAGGAGTAGTAGCAGTGAAATGTTCCATGCATGTTCTACTGGGAGTAGGCCCCGGGGTAATCCCAGGACACCCTGTTCCACCGAGTGAGCTGGAGGAGGTGGCTGGGGAGAAGGAGGTTTGGCTTCTCTGCTGCCCCAACGTTCCGGCCCCGAATAATCAGCAGAAAATGGATGGATGGATATGCAATGAAGGCAGAAG